TGTGATCTCTGCCTGTCAAATAAATGAATAAAATCTTCAATAAAGTAGACTGTGATGGAAAGCACACACGCTCTAAAAACAAAGCTGGAGTCATCAGTGGCCACCGTCCCTGGAGAAAAGACCCAGACACATTCAACATTTGGAAAGCAGGCCTTAGTTTTAGAAGGAAGACAAGACAACCTCGGAAACAAGCGGGGAGACTCTGGACATGGACAGGAAGCCAAGCCGTGTTAATGGGTTGACGGCAAGCATCAGGGAGGATGACCCAGCAGCGGCCCACTCACCACCCTCCTGTCTGCTGTGAGTAAATGACCCAGCCAGGCCTGAAATTCTCCAGTCAGTCACTGGCTGGGCTCCTGGGTGCTCAAGCATGCGTCAATTAAAGTAGTCTTGAGACATCTCAGACTCTTCCTGAGAAAAATGGAACTGGTGGTCTGGGGCACCAGCCTCAAGCCAAGGCTGTTGTCCCCGTTTCCTGCCGGGGCCCCACAAATCCATCTCCTTCGTTTCCCAAAGAAGGGGTCCCTTCCCTCTAGTCCAAGACGGTTACTCTTCCCCTTTAGAGACCAGTCTCCATGCAGTGGACAACGTCATCCACACGACTTCCTGTGAGATGGAACCAGTGCTGTGGCAAAGGACTACGTGAGGAAGACCAGCTCATTGCATGGGCAGGTCAGTAGTCCCGCTTAGTGCTTCAAAATCCAGGGGGGACGTGGAGTTTTAGAATCTACTATGGATGGACTCGTTCAGTAGGGATCGGCTATGCCACGTCCCACTCTGCCCCACCCTGCCCCACCCTGGCCTTTGTCAACGCACAGGTCAGAACCACTTCCTCCCATGACAGGAAATGAGCGGGTGAGGGAGGCCGCACAAACTGGGACGGCTACTTTAGTTTCCTGCTGCAGTTTTGTGTCATCTTCCTTTTGCTTTTGCCTAACTCATTTGTATTTCTTTCCTTTCTCTTCTTTTGAAAAATTGTGTTATATATTCCTCGAGTCTACAGCCCACACCTACTACATCTCTGTTTCTCAAGCACAGCAAAAATCACACTTTATTTTCCACAGCTTGTGTTCATTTCTCAGAAGCCTTAAGTTAAAAATTGTCAATTCTGTGAAACTAGCTCTATAGTAGGCAGAAAATTCTTTTCAAGTTCCTTAAAATTTTGGAGCCTTAGGGCACCTGGGTGGTTTAAGCCTCTGCCTTCCGCTCAGGTCCTGGGATGGAGCCCTCCATCGGGCTCTCTGCTCAGCAGGAAGCCTGCCTCCCCCTCTCTCTCTGCCTGCCTCTCTGCCTACTTGTGATCTCTCTGTCAAATAAATAAATAAATCTTAAAAAAAAAGTTTTGGGGGGGCACCTGGATGGCTCAGTGGGTTAAAGCCTCTGCCTTCGCCTTAGGTCATGATCCCAGAGTCCTGGGATCGAGACCCACCCCGCATCAGGCTCTCTGCTCCGTGGGGAGTCTGCTTCCCTTCCTCTCTCTCTGCCTGCCTCTCTGCCTACTTGTGATCTCTGTCAAATAAATAAAATCTTAAAAAAAAAAAAAAGTTTTGGAGCCTTAGACACTTTTATCCCACTGCAAGCAGTAATCACAATCTTGCCTTTCAATGGCACTCCGTACCTTTCCCAAATACATGACCTCATTTGAACCTCATATTGTCTCTGTGAAGTGCGTGGAATTATCTGTATTCTACATGAACAGAAGCTGTAAACTACACACGCGTAAAAGGTACTCTGAGCTTAACTGCCCTTATGCACACTCCCTTGGTTATGCCCCCACTGACCTGGAATGAGTTAAGGAGTATCTACTTATAATTCTCTGCTAGTTGCTGAGGATGAGGAAAAATCCAAAATCCCACTTCATTTTATATTAATGAATTATTTCAATGCTATTAAAAATTCAAAAGAAATATTCTAGCTCTCCTACTACTTTACCACCCAAAGGTGCAGAAAAGCAAATGGGGAGAAGATTCTGCTGTATTTCCTCTCAGCTCATTAGGAATGTGAGTTGAAAAGTAACTACCTTTTTCCTCCTTTCTTTCATTCCTAATGTTTTATAAGAATAAACTCTAGGTGAATCAGAAGCATTGCTAAAATACAGCTCAGCAGTATATCACAGGAGGAAATTCCTGTTCATTTTATTTATGGTTCTTAATTTCCACAAAGGTGGACTACTTGAACAATAGTTCTGACAGCTTTAAGATATATTTAGGTATTTACCAGACTCCAGAAAACTATGTAATTTAAGTCTGAACCTCTTTAACTTAGACACATGAACCAGTTGGCCATATTAAGCCAATTAGTAAGTCTGAGCTACTTAAACACATTAAACCTCAAAACTAACCTAGTGCTTCAGTTGTGTCCACATATAGATATGTCCTTTAAGTAGAACCTAAAATTTAAATACCAAGAATTAGTCTACATATTCACGAGTAATGCATACGTATTAATCATTTAATCTCTTTTGACTGTCATGTCATGGAGATACCACCAAACAAGTATGTCACTATGTAACTCAAAATAAGATTCTCAAAATTCATGCAATAGAGCCTCCTTTATTCAAATGTTGTTCACTGAAATTCCTATCTGCAGTAGAATCTAGGTGTTAAGTATATGAAATACATTTACCTAAAGATGTATTTGAAAACTTCTAGTAATTAAAGAAGGATCCATTTCTTTGTCAATTTTAGCTTCTACCTCTCTGACAGGGTGAAGTAGAATTATTCTATTTGTGTCCTAGAGCACAAAGGTCCTGTATATATTTCTGAACTATTTCTAAGTCAAAGGTACTGATTTAACCACCAAGCACCGAATTGGGGCCTGACACAGGTAGGCTAACCGGTATGCTGACTTAGGGGAAAAAAAAAAACAAAAAACAACAAAAAAACTTCTTATGGATATGCACATTTTGTATCAGGTAATTTCAAGCAACAACATATATTTTTCTTATATGGAGCATCACTGAAAAAGTTAAAGCTTGCATTTTTTATGTCTTATGATTGGTTAAAAAAGTGCCTTGATGAGAGAATAAGTCAATGGTCAAAAATCATTTATTGAAGACCTGAGGCACTGCTCTGAGTCTTGAGAGAAGAGGAATTAGGATTTTTCTAGACCTTGGCAAGCTTACTCTGTGACACAAGGAGAAGGATTCCATGTACCACAAAGAAATCAGAACGAGAGCTAATGTCTCCAAAGTTTTACTTACAATGACTTCATTCCCCAAACCATATTTTACTAGCATTATTCAAACCCAACTTTATAACATTATATTCCCTCACTCATAATTGTTATTTTCTAACAGAGTTCCTAGCTCTTCCCCAAATAGAACTGAAATTTTATTTTTATTTTTTAAAAAAATTTTAAGTAGGTTCCATGCCCAGCATGGAGCCCAATGAGGGGCTCAAACTCAAGACACTGAGATCAAGACCTGAGCTAAAATCAAGTGTTGGATACTTAACCGACTGAGCCACCCAGGTGCCCCTGGAATTGAAATTTTAGATTTGCTATTGTCAAAACAAAAGTTAAAAATATCTATAAAAGGCTATATTATTCCCTGAAAATTCAACTTTATACTTTTCTCCAAATAGCTTAAATTATTTAGTTATTTTTCACTTACTTGCATGTTAGGTTAGCACAAATATCCAGGTCTTAAGGGAATAGAGACCCAAATATGGATGTCTACCCCAAAGTTAGCAAAGTCACACAAAATCTCAGTAGATCTCACTTTCCTTTGGGGTAAGCAACCACAGGATAAAGAAGATTTTCAAGCTTTACAATTTCTCCATATTTCTATTCTTAGAAAATGACATTCCCATGAGAAATTGGGACAAGTGTGGATATAGTGACTTCTTAGGAACCCCAGGACTCACCAGCAGCTTTCCCTATCAGAATGAACGACCTTAAGCAAAAGATTACAACACAAGATGAAGAGTTGAAATGGCAGGAACAATCCAGAAACCGAAACAGACATTTCTGTTTAAGCCAGAGTCATGTCTTACTTATTCTCAAGCTAATTTTGTTTTTGTTTTTGTTTTAAATAGCAAATTTCCCCAACATTCTACAAGTGGAGTTAAAAGCAACAAGGCAATTAATATGGCAGAATGATTGTTCTTGGGCAGTCTCAACAGTATCTGATTGTTGCACTTATCAATTCTATTCCTGTCCTTCGAATTAGCTCTCATGAACTGTCCTTAGTTAGCATCATTCCTCTAGACTAAACAAAAATGGGAAAAGAGCAAACAGGACTCAGTCATCAACAGGATGCAAGGAAATGCTGCACAATGACCAGAAGGTAGGGACTCGGCCACTCAGCAAATACACGGTAAGCCTCTACTACTGTGTGTGCCAGCCCCTGAAGATACAGAGGTGCTCTCAGTCAGCTCAGGGCTTAGAGACAAAACACATGCATGCAAACCCAGCAAAGTAAGAAGGTGTCAATGAGGTGTGGTTCCTACTGAAGAGGGGGAAAGGAGTCTGAAGGAGGCAGTCAGGAGAGTTCGCAGAGAAGCTAAGCCTGGGAGGATAAGGAAGGACTTCTCAGGAGGCAGCCAATGGGTGGAAGCACATTTCAGATGAACGAAAGAGCATGAGCAAAGCCTATAACAGGAAGTGATCTCCAGGCAGGGAAGATCTTCTATCCTATCCAATGGTCACAAAATGAGAAATGGGAAGGCCATGGCAGCTGAATTAGCCCAAGTCTGGAGGTTCTCCTTTGAAAACAAGACTGGAGTTCCAACCTGAGTTTCAAAAAAGGCTCACAAGGTGACCTTGATTCTGTCCCTGCACTCCTAAAACTATCAACTAAAGAGAAGAATTATGAAATGGTTAGAAATGAGTAAGGAAGAAGAGTAGATATTGCCTACTTTTTCCCCTTGGGAAGGAAAGACTTTGCCCCAAAGATAACTGCATATCCATTTGTCAACTTCCATCTATGTCCTTTAAAGAATCTTGAGTCCAAGTATAGCAAGTATTTGAAAGTTAGTCAGGAAAAAAATGGTCCTTACCTTGCTTTGGAATGACTATGGTTACAGGGATGCCAGTACCATGTGACTGTAGGTTGAGGGATACCATAAATGGTACAAGTCAGGATTTGTCTGCTGCCCAGGAGATAGAGAGTCGGGTCTAGAAAGGATGACACGGCTTTTTCATAGATCTGGGGTTTCACTGGAAGGAAGATGAACAGGACAGAAGTCAAGAGCTATCCAGTAACTTTCTCTCGGGCTACCACACGAAGGACCGCATTTTCCTGGTGTTGATGTCAGGGAAACGAACACATATCTGTTGTCATTATGGCCATTTCTTTTTTTTTTTTTAAGTAGAAGGTTTTGATAACAGTAAAAAACTGATTCCATGGTATGTACATCATGATTACAATGACCAAAAAAATCATATTGCTTATGGAAGATAATGAGCAGACCTGAAATCGGTACAATGGAGGAGGATGCAGTTTTTAAAACCATTACTTAAAAGTGTGTTTTCTCAAAAAAAAAAAAAAAAAAAAAAAGTGTGTTCTCTCTGACTTTGTCCTATTGACTTTTGATTCTCCAATTTTCCTGAACCGGAAGAAAGTATAACAAACTTACCATTTACAATTAAAGTGGTGGTAAGGTTTTGGAACACGCCATACTGCTTTATGGCCAGCAAGACCGTGTAATCCCCGGCGTCCTCTGCAGTGACATCTTTGATAATTAATGCGTAGCCATGAACCAGGTAGCGAGGAGATTTCTCAGTCACAGGGAACCCATCTTTTAACCTGTGGTGAAGAGTGTGATTGGGAAGTCATTCCACACAGCCTCTCAGAGATCATTCTAACACTGTCATTTACGTTTGTGAGCTCAAGTTGAGACTCTCCAAGCCTTTAGTCCTCCACATTCATTTTACAAATGTAGACACCAACTTTTCAGTAAATCCAGGTGTGGTTTTTAAGCGGAGAAACGCTCCACATTTATTGGCAAGGTCGAAGAAGTACGGTGAAGGGAGAAAGAAAAGCAAGGGTTTTAAGGTACCCATGTGACTTAAGAATTCACCCAGCAGCACTGGCTGATCCCATCGAGATGTTGAGATGTTTTTCAGTTTTGCGTGAGGCCTCATCAGCAATACAAGGGCCATTGTAAGTCAGATCAACTAGATCACTTCTCCAGATAAAAATAAAAATAGACTTTCCTATTGTGGTCTCATGTGGAGTTCTTATTAGTTGTATAAATGGTCACACCAGTTGTCCCTTTCATAAGCTATAGTAAAATCAAGATTATCAAGATTTTTCCCCTGAGGAAGAACAGTTAAGGCACAAAACTCACAAACAAAAGGTACAAAACTTAAAAAAAAAAATTCTTTTTAACTTTAAATATAGAATCAATGCCTAGATATCATGCAGTTGCATACAGAACTGAGAGCCGGGAGGCTGAATGCTTGTCCCAGCTCTGCCACTCTGCGCTTGTCTGTGTGAGCCTCAGTTTCTCCAAATTTTCTAGAGCTTCTCAAAGATTTAATGCTACAAGTCTAAGTTCATTAAATTGCACAGTTCTTTTTTAATCTGTTAGGAGTTTACTGTATTCTGTAGGAAGTTTTAATACTGGAAATGGTATTAGTTCATATCCACAAACATTAACTTGTCCTGTACGCAAATACCCATCACTAATGGGTCTTGGTTCCCAAGCGGTTGAAATGACTATGCTCTATGTTATGACTGCAGATGTCATCTTAATTGACTGTATTTCTCAAGAACAAGTCAATGTTTTCAAAGATGGATGGACTTATTATTATTATGTATGTGTTTTAGGTCCTAGCTGCTTAGTTACTAAAGAAATTAGCACTCTTTAATAGATGGGGATACTCTCAGACCCTTTTAAAGGAGGGAATGTATAGTCTGGAATGATTAAATTCCAATGAAGGAATTAATGTACACTCACAGGAAAAATTTACAATTGGACTTTTTATACATTATAAAACAACAAAAAAGACCTCTCTTCTACCATGACGCCACAAAGGGGCGCAGCACGAAGTTTAATTTTCTCTTTAACTCCCTGTTAACTATTTGAGGAAACTGAAAACAAACACTGCAATCGTGTGATATTGTAAGCAAAATGAGGGCTGGTGGAGGTGATTCTAAAATGGTACCATTTCCATATTGTGCAGGTTGTTTTCCTAATGGGTTTTGTACTGTACTCTTTGTTTAAAATGTAATGGTTTGAGCCAAAGATATTAGCATTTAAAAATGATTTAACAAAATGACTGCAGATTATAAACAGATTACATTGTTTTACATCAGGTGTTGTACTAACACAAAAAGAACCTGCTTAGGGAGGTTCTGAATATGCAAACTTTGAGCCAAAAAAAAAAAAAACTTAATTAGTTCAAGTAGGTCCTTTCCTCCACCCCTACAACTGAATAAGTTTTGTCTCTCTTAATGTTTGTTTAATTTTACAACAAGACTGGAACTTTCATCCCAGCTGTATATAAAAGAATTATTTTCAGATAATAAAAGAATTATTATCCTCATTACAAGGGCCCACTTCTTCAGGGTTAATAGAGCATGTTAGATATTCAAGACGCTTCCTACTCATTGCCCAACATACTCCATTCAAAGGATGTTGACATCATGGGGAGGTTTAGAGATGCAGAAATTTAGTCACAGTGTGTGAAGGGCTGAACTGAAGGGAGCACTCAAAAACACCTCTGGTCTCCCACTCCATCCTGGGACATCCCTCCCCTTCCCCTCCAGCCCTGCCTACCTGCTTCGCTCCCAGCCCCAGAAATCAACTCAGTTCTTGGCTTTCCACCGGGGTCTGGGGACACTTCTCTGGATATTTTCTCAGGAATTCCCATCATTGGGCTCCTGCATCTTCCTACTCACAGAGCATATCTCAAACTGATTGGAAAATAATTACGGTCCTACCATAGAACCTCTGGTGAGGGAAATGCCTTCACTTTCACAGAGAGCCTGTAGGACCGCTTGCCGGCTATGGTCTCCAGCACGTGCTGTTTTCGATGTTTCACCGTGATGAATGCTTTATCTTGGAGAGGAAAGGCGATGAAGAGATTAGGAAAGGCCCTGTTTATTTTAACAGAGCAACACCACCCCAAACCCCTGCCTCCTAGGAGGGTGGAAGCAGTGACCAAACAGAGCAGAATTAGAATCAAGACCATCAGGGAGCCCAGGGCGCCTGCGTGGCTCAGTGGGTTAAAGCCTCTGCCTTCAGCTCAGGTCATGGTCTTGGGGTCCCAGGATCGAGCCCCGCATCCGGCTCTATGCTCAGTGGGGAGCCTGCTTCCCCCTCTCTCTCTGCCTGCCTCTCTGCCTACTTGTGATCTGTCAAAATAAATAAATAAAATTAAAAAAAAAAAAGACTATCAAGGAGCCCAAATACTGATACCTAAATAAAATAATCCAGAAGCACACTAACTAGTGAGGTACGTTCAAGTGAGAGGGTTGCGAGGAGAACAGAAAAACAGAGGCAGAGCCACAGAGAATGCAACATCTCAAATATCCATATGGCAATCACAGAAAAGTAGAGAGACTTCTGAAAATCTACCATGCCCAAGATGAGTATGATGGGAGAAAGTTCCTTTAGGCGCCATAAAACAAATGATCTGATTTAAAAAAAAACAAAAAACAAAAAACAAAAACAAAAAACAAAAAACAAAAAACCCTACGGGAGAAAATCAAAAGAACATCTCAGGCCACTGCCAGGACAGTTCAAGAGTTTCTGCTTCTTGCCTTCTTTTTTTTTTTTCCCTGACAGTGGAGATAAATAAGGTTTTTAAGGATTCTAAAGATGTTTAAATATTTTCTTTATAGAATTTGCCCATTGGCATTAAGCAACAATATCAGGATTTCATCAGAGTAATACCGGGGATAAAATCACATCAGTTCTAAATAACTTATCCCACCACATTTTTCTCTAACTCACAGCAGTACCTGAGAAATAAAGGTCAATCTGTCATATTTTTCTGTATTGTTTATATGGAATGCTAAGAAAAGAGCTTAATATAGGTTATAATATGATCTAACTGAATTACTCACCACAATAAACTGGCAAGGAAAAGATTCTCTAATTCAAAAGTATTAAACAACACTTAATGTGCTTTGCTTTTTGGCAGCAGGAAGAGGGGAACCAAGTAGTATCATTCATGATAGAGTACCTCTTGGCCAAAAGAAAATGTACTTTTTTATAGAACCTGCCCCAAATCCACGATGATAGAAAGTAGAGCAGGAATGGCTTACCATATATATGCACTGACGTGTTCACAGATTTGAACGACGGGCCACTCTTCACATTGCAAGTATAAAGTCCTTTGTCTCTGTTCTGTACTTTGTCAATAGTAAGAACGCTATAGAACACAATGGCAACGGAGGTGCGCTGGCCAATTCGTTGCCTTATAGATGCTCTCTTCTTTGTCTAGAAATAAAATGTATAGCAAAGGTGGATGTAGTAACTGTTCATGCTCAAGGTGAGAGCATTTCTCAGATCATCACTGAGATGATCAACATTTTATGCTGGGAAGCAAACCCACCTAACACCAAGATGTTTAGAAACTCAAACTGTGTCTCGATGCGTTTCCAATATTTGCCATAGGAGCATTCATTTAGCACGTCGTCTTCTCCAAATGGACTTCCACGTACATTAACCCAGCAGTTTCTCACTGGGGAGATAGGCAGCATCACTGCCCTTCTACACATGAAGAGGCTGAAGCCTCAGAGGTCACCATGGGCAGGAAACCCAGGTCTCTGGAGGATATAAATCTAGTGCCTTCCCTCTAGCTCACACCTCTCTAAACAGCAACCAGCTCTCTGGGCAGAGATGTGGCTAACTTAGGCAGTAAGTATCTTTGGTGCCTGACTCCATGACACTTTTTCTCTAAGCGTAAGTCTTCTTTTGCTCCCTTACTAGAAATGAAGGAAAAAATCAGGAGTCCTGACTCCATACACTGAGGTGTAATAATCCTGCTCTCATCATTTCACTATTTTGAGCAAGGCTTACCAATTTCTGCTAAATCACACAGAATGGATCTGAGGCCATGCAAAACCATCTACAAGCTTAGGCAACATCTGATGGTGGTGGTGGTGGTGGGCCATGGTCCTGTGTTTGCCCCACGGCACACCAGGAGCAGGCCCCAAGGCTCAGAAGCGTAAACTGGTCACAATGCCTCCTTCCTGGTTTTGGGAAAATGAGATTACATTGCCTTTTCCTTCCATTGTTCCTTCTCCCTCTCTCACTCTCTCTCTTTTTTTAGCATTACATTTTATAACACATAATATGTTATATCTCCCTCTCCATCCTTGCCATGTGAGGAGGCATGGGGTAAAAAAAAAACAAAAAAACAAAAAAACCCAACTGTGAAAGCAGTACAGAACTGGTCTTTGGATCTTGAACTTAGCTGTCTTCTGTGCCATGTTTAGGAAACTTCTACCCACCTGTCCTTATATTGCCCTGCTAGAACAGACACATGGGGAGGCCATTTTCTTCCTTCTTGGCAGTAACCAGAAAGAAGATGCCAACCACCACCACCATCAAAAATCAAAGAAGCGGTCCTTTAAATGCCAGCCTGAGGGATTTTCAGCCACTCTCTGTAGGTATTACTTCCATCTTCTCTGTTAGAGAACTCCTTCCTTCCCAAATCTGAGTAACATTGGTATTGTTTCTGCCTTTGGAAAACAGCTGATCCTGGGTTTCAGACAACTGTTTTGTCTGGCTCTGTAGCCACCAGCCACACGTGGCTGTTAAAATAAGAAATGCAGATCCTTAGTCACAGGAACCACACTCCAGGCCCTCTTAGCCACCTGTGGCTAGTGGTGACTGTAAAAGTCAGACAAGATATTTCAGTCATACAGAGTTCTACTGGATGGCGCCATTTTCCAAGGTTTAACTGGCGGTCGGCCACCAACAGGGTAAGAGTTTGTTCCCTCTTGTTGTTTATTGAAGAATAGCTGACTTCTATCAAAACCCAGAAACGACTGCCACAAGTCACAGCATTTTTATTTAAATGAAACACTATCACTTTCTAGAAAATAGATGGACGAGTCCTTCAGGGCATGCGTTCCATTTTTTTGTTGCCAAGTTATTCTATTTCCACGGCAAGAGATGTTTGATGAGAAACAACAGTAGCTTGGGGCTGACGTGTTACTCTTTGGCATATAATTTAATCATCAATTAATTCTGTGATTGGGCAATCTGAATGACAGGGCACACGATAGGGCCTGGGATCCGCCCCCTCCATTATGCCGCCACACAGCCAATGGGGCCACAGTGACAGTTAAAGTTTCTTAACAGCTGATCTTCAATTCCCCACCTACACGTTTGCAAACCAGGACTGTTTGTTTGCGGGGACGTTTGGTCTGAATAAAGAGCCCCAACTTGGTCTCCATTCTTCTCATTTTTCTGAAGGACAGCACTGCTCCTTTTTCACTGAACAAAGGGAATACTGGCCGACTGGCTTGGAATATCTTTTCCAAACATGCTCCAATCAGGTGCCTCGCTGTCTGCTGGTATCTAAAATTAACACGCTGACAAAAACTTTTTGTTGTGGTTCTTACCGCAGATAGGCCCTGCCTGGCACTGAGTGATAAATTTCCCTCTCATCTCTAAATCCCAGAGAACAGTTTCCAAGGATGAAACAATCCTCTTTTCCACCCAGAGTCATGCAATAGAAATACCAGCCTATATACTTCAAAACAAAACCTCCAGACATCAAAAGACCGTATCTGTGCACACACACTCATGGAACATCAGACGAGCCAAGCCCCCAAACCACACCCACAGCTTCCTTGTTCTCTCAAACCGCCACAGGAGTCAGAAGATGCTGATTTTGTCCCACCTCCAAAACCCAGTGGCAAGCCCCTTGCCAGAAAGAAATACTGCCCTCCAGAAGCCAGAGGAAAATGCCACTCACTTCACCAGGATAACTCCAAGTCATCTGAACCCTTGTGTTCAAAGCAGTGGTAGCGGTGCAGTTGAGGGTAAGAGTGTGACCTCGAAGTAACTTGACTGGGCTTGGCGTGCTTATCTGGACATCTTGGATGGTATTGGCTGCAAGCATAAGAAATGAGATTCTTTTTTTTTTTTTTCCCCCAAATCAAGGTCTCATTATACACAAGGAAGCCCTGAAGCGTTTTGGCCTGTCCTCATGCCTTTGGAACCCCACTTACTTTGTCGATAGGTGAGATAGTTGCTCTTGTACAAATGTCCGTTGACTGTCGTTTCACAGGTCAGAAGGCCGATCTCTCTGTATGTTGCATTTGCTATTATAAAACCCTTCCTACTGTCCCACCTTATTCGTTTTCCATCCGGGATCAGGGTGTCAAGGGGAAACTGAAAAGGAAGAAGAAAAAAAAGAAGATGCTTTAAGAAAATAGTAGGAGCACCGTGACAATAGTGTTTCACTCGTAGTCTGTGAAATCCCAGTTTTCATCGAAAATGAAAACGGTAGAGGTAAAAACTCCAGTTTGGCTCTTTAGTTTGCTTTGCGTGGAGCAAGATATACATGATGAGGATAAATTATGGTAATTCATTATCAGCCTCAGCACCCCCTGGGGTGGACCTAGCTGTCATGTCAGACTTGGAGCGGGGGCCCCTATCACTTGGCCTCTGGGAATCACCCTTGTCACTGACCCGCCTGAGAAACCAATTAGGAACATTTCCACTAGGTCCACCAGGTCACCTTCCTGAGCTTAGTCATCTGGAGCTTTTAACAAGCCATCACTTGTCCTCCCATTTTGCATGATTTAGTAAAGAGGTGGCTATCTTCAGAGGACCGTAAGTAATTCCCAGTCCTTTGAGATACATAGCCTTCACTTGGCGCTCGCTGGCGTTATCATTCTAGGAAGGCTGAGGGCCTCGAGTCTGCCTCTGGGAGGGAAACTCCAGGGAGACGGACAGTGAAGACAGCTGCAAACAGATGTGGAGCCCAGAGACGCTGTCATGAGTGAGGCGTTCTCAGATTCTTAGAAGTATTCCCAAATACCATGAGTCCAGACAGAAGAAAGGAATCCATGATTTGATTTTCCCTTATGCCTTCTGCTGGACGCCAAGAACTTTATTTTTGAAGACTACCGTATAAACAGTCCGCCTAGGGATGAGACTTTATAAAGGGCTATTGCTCCACTGAGTGGCCCAGCCAAATTCCCCTGATGCCAGATTCCCGGCCCAATTTCAGAGGCATCTCTGACTACCACTGTGACTTATCCCCCTGCTGGAAAAGGGTGGGGGTGGAGAATCAGATTACCTTTCAGATCTGTCTCCTCTTCTTTTAAAAAGTGCACCTGGCATCGCTTATCTGTTTATCACTTATTTATACTGCTTGTTGAAGGACCTAATCTGGCTGGGATTTGCAACTCCATGGCAGAAATTCCTCTGTGAGGCGACCCCCAGCGCCCTCTCCCAGGGAGCATGTCTGTGTGGGTCTGTGTTACCAGAACGTCCCACAGCTTTGAAATGAGCTGCACCCTGTTTACAAAGAACTTGTAAGCAAGTGAAGGAGGCATTTCATGTTCTAGTAAATCATGATTCTATCTGCAGGCTCAGGAAGGCTCTATCTCCAGTGGGAGAAAAAGAACCTTTCTCTAACCTGATACCAATTATTAAGGGAAAAGCTCAGACAAGTTTCAGTCAGGGATTGAGATCTATGATGCTTTGAACAGAGGCGACCCCAAGCCTGGGCCGAATCTAAAAGAAAGGTTTGCTGATGGACTTCCTCAGCACAACTCAGAAATATACTGAAGTTTTCCTTTAAAGTTTCAGAGGAAGTTCCACTTACTGATTTGCCCTTACCACCACCAGCAGTATTCTATTGACAAAGAAACTTTGTTCTGAGCTGAATTAGCAGAAGGCCACGTAGCTCATCAGCTATGGCGGTGCCTATGAGTATCACAGAGAGGCAGGGGAGAAACAGCCTTGAAAGAAAGGACTGGACAGGGAGGCTGCCTCCAGCTGACCACGGCTCCTACGGCAGGGGTAGGTAAGGGGGAGAGAAGGAAGGGACAGCAGGTTAAAAGGGACAAGAGGAGAGGTAGAAGGGAAAGATCTTACAACTAGAATAGTTTCAGTATGTATGTGGCAAACCCAAATCCCTATGAGAACAGTGTGCTTTTCTCTCTCTCTCTCTCTTCCACTCTCTCTCTCCCTCCCTCCCTCCTTCTCTCTCTCAAGTGTATTATAGATCTTAGGTAGAAAAACAGAGAAAATAAGCTCCCCCCCACTCAGATTTTTACATGGGGGAATTTGGGACTGTTTCTTACCACAGAAAAATGATCTGCACTAGAGCAAAAAGGCAAGGGGCTTGCCCAAAACAGAGATGTTCCACAGCCCCATGGCATGTTCCATATAAATCACACAGTGATTATTACCTCAGATGAAGAGGAGTGGATACCATGCTTGATAGTAAATATCACTTGATAATAAATCAAGTATTGGGTATTAAACTGTTAGGTAAATAATAATAGTTAACCCTTGATGGGGCTCAGCTTATACAAAGAACTAGGGGCTTTTTTGTATCACTTCAGTTACTTCCTAACACCCGTGTGAGGTGGGTGTGACTGTAGCCATTCCCATCTCTCCAATGAGGAAACTGAGGTGGAGGGAGTTTAGATAACTTGCCAGTTGGTCCAGCAGGTTAAATGGTTGGGTGACCAGAGTCCACGCAGCATGGCACAAGGCTCTGTTCTTAACCGCTCCGGTCTCTCTCCAGCGCAAACTAAACCATTAGCAAAGGTGGCAAGAGCACGGAAGTAGTCAAGATACGGATTCCAATGCCCAGGGTGGTCTGGGAGGTCCCCAACTCCCCAATTCCCCCAGGACCTCAGTTTTTCCTTCCACCATTGGTTTTGAACCCTCTGATGCTCTCAGCTCCGAAATACAGCGACTTTATAATTACTGGTGGTGACACATAGATATAATGGAAGCTAAAACCTGTCACTGATGGACTATCCTGAGTGCTTCAATCAAATCAATAATGTAGGAAAGTGAATGCAAGGGAAGGAGACCAGGAGACACCTCCAACATATTGCAGGATTTCAGGCCAAGCAGTGATACCGGAAATCATTCCAAGTTTTTCTGACTCCACTACTACGACCACCAAACACTTCCTAAGTGCGACGGTGGTGCTTCACGCTACCTTGGGACAGCCTAAACTTTTCCTCTTAAACCTCAAAGCTCTCAGGACTCACCACTGTTTTCCATCTGGGGAGTACCTGTCCACCTCTCACCCTAGTCTGTTCCCAAACTCTCAGCATCTATGAATTAGCTGGAACGTCACATTTTAGTTTTTATCTTTATTAGATTCCATCCCAAATCTTTTTCTTTCTTCACATGCATAATTTATAACATGATATGAAGAAAAAAATGTCATGTGTGGCTTTCTTGCACCCCTCCTCACTTTTTTCCCCTTTCCCTAAGCAGCTAAGTTTGGCTGCCCAGCAGGACATAAGCTTTTGTTACTGGGAACTTCACAACTCAAACAAAAGCTGGTAGCTGTAGGCACCTGTCTCACAGTTCTGTCCTTAGCAAAAATCTGGAGTAATCCCTCTCTGCCAAGTTACTAATTTGGATAAGCAAAAGAATTGGTTTTTCTCACATCTTCAGACAATTGGATTTGTGGCCTTATAAGAACATATGCACAATTTTCGTTCATTATATTCACACCAATTTATGCCCACATAAACGTGTCATGTTATTTCATGCCTGGGTATGACCTCTAGCACTCATCCTTTATAGTAAAAGGATATTCGAGAAAAGTCCACTGAGCAGCCCAAATGTCTGTAAGAAAATCATTCCAGAGAGATAAAAGGACTTGAAATTCATTGTGCTCACTTGCAGAAAAGATTTTCTGAGAGAAGCATTGCTCGGTTTTACCTTTTTTAAAGTCACAGTGATGTTAGGTGATGTGACCCGGCAGGGGATGACGATCTCCCTTCCTTCAGTCATATATATAATTTCGGGTATTTCACTGTGCATCTCTAAGAAAGGTCTACCTGTATCTGAATGAGAAGAAAATGAAAAATACATATATATATGTGTGTGTGTATATATATATATATATGCATATATATATATATATATATATATAAATGGTTGTATCAACATCTAGACACCATAGCTGGGTAAGGCAGACAGTCACTGACACATGTCCCCCTTAATATAATCCATAAATTTGCATTCTTATCTCTGAATTTGGCCCTCTTTGTTTTTGCCCAGAAACAGAATGCTTCTGTAAGAAACCAAATTCCTTGGGGCACCTGGGTGGGTCAGTGGGTGAAGCCTCTGCCTTCGGCTCGGGTCATGGTCTCAGGGTCCTGGGTTCGAGCCCCATATCGGGCTCTCTGCTCAGCGGGGAGCCTGCTTCCCCCTCTCTCTCTGCCCACTTCTCTGCCTACTTGTGATCTCTGTCAAATAAATAAATAAAATCTTTTAAAAAAATTAATTAAAAAAATAAAAAAGAAACCAAATTCCTTATTCAGATCTTGACCTTGGGTCAGATTGCCCCTGATGCCCTAAGATGCAACTGTGATGTAGGGGGGGTGGGAATAGGCTTAGGTCATCATTGCAAAAAGCCATAAAAGTGCAAGGAGAAAGAAAGGAGAATATTCTGCATAAACTTCTTCCCACTGCTATGCTAAGTACCTCCGGAAGCAGCCTCCAGAGCCTTTGTAAGGCGTCCAAGGGCCCTGGGTACAATGGTCAGCTGACTTTGGAGCAGATAGAGGTAATGCAGAGGTGTCAATTTGTAGAGAGGATTAGCATTTGAATGACAGAAGCCTGACTTAAAGGTTTTCTAGACCTTTCCTGCAGACTCATAAGGAGTGAGGAGCTCTGAGCTGTTCAGAGCTAGGGGAGAGTCTGGAGAAGCCGTGTTGAGGACTGCGTTGACTTCCCAGGCCTATTAGATTCCTTTAGTATGTGCAGTGTTATCTACTAACAGCACATAAGTCCCAGCGCCTGCAGAGGGGGCTGGAAAAGGCTTACATCATCACCAAGATACCACCCTTCAGAAGGAGGTAGACTCTGGCCAAGTCTCAGAGGCCACAAGGATTCAAACCACCTGTTCAGCTTCTCTGTGGTTCCTCTGGGGACCAGAATCAGCATCAGATCTTTCAGAAACATTCGCAGTCTACCATGCCCTCACGCTCAGGAACCCACTGATCTCTTCAGGAGTCACTGTGCCACCTTCCGCCCTTGGCTTTAGCCTTAAACAGCCAGATGGAAAGAAGTCTGCTGTTAACTCTCTCCATCTGGACCTGAAAGACCCAACAAGCCCTCCCAGAGGCTTGCTGGGCTTTAGGAAGCTCAGTCTGGATGCTGAATGGAGACATGGAGCAGCGAGTAGGCAGTGGTTGCCTAGACTAGATGGTGGCTATGATGTTGTTGTGGGGTGAACTGTGTCCCCCTCATGACCAAAATGCACAAGTCCTCAACCCTAGTACTTCAGAATGTGACCTCGTTTGGATCAAATGGGATCGCTGTCAGTGGAATTAGAAGGGTGGGTCCCTACTCCAGTATGGGTGTCCCAGGGTCAGGGACATGGGGTCGGGGGAGAAGACACATGAATATGCAGGGAGAGACTGAGTGATGGGGTGCGAGGTGGGGGTTGCCAAGGATTGCCAGCAAACACCACAGGTAGGAAGAGACATAGAAGGAAACCCCTACAGGTTTCAGAGGGGGCATGACCCCAATGACACCTTGATTTCAACCTCCAATTCTAGAATGTGAGACAATTCCTGTAGATTAAATTTAAAAAAAAAAAAATGACATTGGTGTAGCCTGCTTAAGACAGACTCATTTGACACACACTAGACACTAGAAAGGCCCTATTATCGCAGCCTAGCTCATATGCCCTAGATTTCTAAATAATTCCTCCTTGTCCTCTGGGAAGCCTTGCTAGGCCAGCCCCTTCCTTATACCCTTTCTCCATCCCCACTTTAGCGGCCCTCCCCAAATTCTCCACATTCTCCAATAATAATATTTCACACATTCTACATTGAACTGGCAGGTTACTTCTCTGGCTGCAAAACGGCTGATGAGTTCCTAGAGGAGAGGAGACAGACTGTACTCATCTCAGTCTGACGTGTGGTAAATGAATGAATGAATGAACCTAACAAAACAGAGGAAGAGCTCTCCAACAATTCTGTACTCTGACAGATAAGACAGGGGTGTACATGCGTGAGGTGATGTGAGCAGAACCAGGCCTGGAGGCCAATGTCTCCTGACCTCCTTTCCCTGTACCACACTCAGGACTGGAGCTCCCCGCCTCCTCCTCACCACACAAAGGCTATAGCTGGCAACTGCTCTTCAGAGATGAAGGCTGATTTTCACACACGCAGTGGGGAGAGGATGTACAGTCTAGTTTTAGAGAAATTATGACAAGAGGACAATCACCCAGGGGCAGGAGGGCTGTGAGGGCAGGCTTGGGGTCAGGGCGGACGGTTACAAGGCTGAGTCAGAGGGAGTCAGCACATGGTGGGGGTGCAGAGCTCACACTTTACAAATTGGGATGGAATCCTGGCTCTGCCCCTTCCTGGTTGTGAGACCTCAGGCAAATCATTTTACTCTCTGTGCTTCATTTGCAAAATCCAGTTCAAGAGCTATGATGAGGGTTACATGAAGGAATAAATGTAAAGTGCTTAGAATGGTACGTGGCAGACAGTTAATACTGGATATGTGCTGGCTGTTACTTATTATTAGGAGAGATTTGAAGTTATGGAGAGTGGGGGTTGGGATATATGAAAATCACAAATTATACCCATGATCTTAACTATAAAAGGCATAAATATATATTCAGATATGGCATAGGGAAAAAAACAAATACACTAAAATGTTTGAGTAGTGGCTTGTTGTTATTTTCTTATTTACCTTCTTATATGTTTGTCAGATTTTCTAGAAGGATCATGTATTATTTTATAATATTTTGAATACTGAATTTAAGTCTCAAATTATAAAGCAGCATCCATTCTTACCTGAGGAAAACTACCAATTCTGCATTTGGTTTACTTTAGTTTTGCCTAATAGAATGACACACGAACACTGCACAGTTAATAGTTATATGTCTATTTGGAGAGTTCAGTGGGTGTAGCAATGTATGCAGAGAGGAAAAGTTAATTATACAGAGACAAAGATTCATTTATCAGCACAAAATTCCTCCCTTAAATAAAGTTGCTGAGCTAGATGTTCAGGCAGAAACTATTGGGATTTGATCATTCCTTTCCTTCCTCCTGTGAGTTTATATTTTTGTCTTCTTTGTGAGTCCCAAGGTAAACACAAACACCAGGAAATGGTTTAATTGATATAACTAAACTGTAAATCCTTCACATTTAATTTACTGTCTCCTTAAGCAACTATTTGGAACAAAGGACACTGGCATAAAAAGTTTGTGCGGGAAATAGTAAACATCAGTGTAGTCATTTCTAGGCGAATGAATGCCCACCCCAAATGAAAACAGAAGAGGTGAGCTCGATGTGTCTTTGAATGTCTCCTTCCCCTTTGCCACTTTGGAGCCTCCCAACACTTGAATTTTACTACAACTATTGGCTTTTATAAGCCAATACCAATATCAACCCTGGGCCCCCTGCAATTCTGTTCAGCAATGCAATGAATTGTGCCCATCATAACCCAATTCAAGATACCTCATTTGTATCAAGTCAGCAGTCGCATTAAAATCCCCCATGTTTGCCAATGAGCTTATGACTGTGGAAACACACATACGGGGACACGGACACACATACACACACACACACACACACACACACACACACAATGCTCTGGGCTTAATAATAGTATACTTCCTCTGCAATTTGCTTCAAGGAAGGGCTAAGAATGAACTTGCCTGACATATTATAATACAAACATTTTTTGTTTTGTAGGACCATAGATACAGAAGAGGTCACAGTTCCATTAATATCACCAGTAAAACCACTTACTACTCCCATAGGACATATTTGTCTTTGTCACAAAATTAAAAATGACTTCTGAACCCAGCCAGCACTGCAGAGTGGTTTCCTGAGACCAAATTGGCTGGTCATTGAGCAAGGAAGAGCTGCTCCAAAGATTGTCGGCGTGCTGGCGGTGCAGACACACTGTCACCAGGGACTCGGGCCAACACACAGCTAGGCAGAGGTCACGCCACCCTCCCCTCTCTGAACTCCTAGAGCTCAAAGCAGGGACAGGAAACTGGCACCGAATGTGAGGTGTGCTCCTCCAGTGGCGGTGTCGGGGCTATCCTCCTCCAGGACAGCAAGTGGGCTCAGACACAGCGGATGATCAAACAGGGGCCCTTGCTGAGTGGTTTACACCTGTTTTTTTGAATGTGTTTTTTTCCTTTTGAAATCTGTACTCACTCTGGCACAGTAAGGCCCAGAGACACAGAGGTCCCGGTATGCCGTCCTCATTCCATGCCATTTCCCAAGAGCATCACTTGGGGGTTCTTCCACTGCTTTTGGGGCAAGTGAATGACCCAAAGAATTCAGGGAAGCTATTCTGACTTAAGGAGTTCAAGAGTAAACATCTTATTTCCTAATACCTTCGTATTCCTTTGATTTTGATAAAATTTTTCCTGATTTCCCTTTCCTTTAATTTTAGTTCCTTACCTCTAAGTTCTGGTCATGAGGCCTCTTCGTTGTTTTAGAGGAGGATGTGATTTTAATATGTTGAGGATGACATGAAGAGGATGAACCAATCCCATGAAAGGGTTCTATCTAGACACAAGAGTTTTCACATCACGTAGGTCTTTGTGTGGGGGACTCTACTTCATGCTCAGGGAGAGTTGGTTGACTGGTAAAATATTTCATTTGAAAGATGAAGGGGGAAAAAAGGAAAAGAGGTGATTTCTTCACTCATTTCCAGTGCCCATCAAAGCCTATGAAAATTCAAACCAGAGCTTTGCAGCAAGCATAAGAAAGCTGAAGTAGCTATACTAATATTTGATAAAATAGACTTTAAAATAAGACATGTTACTAGAGATAAAGAGGGACATGTCATAATAAGAACA